AATTACGTCAGTAGTTTGCCATTGTTTCCTGGACGGTCGGCTTTCTTGATACCACTGTCGAAACCATGGCCCGCAGTTGGGATCGAACCCGTATCCCGGCATTACGAAGCGTTCGCATCGACTTAGCCACAGAGCCGACTGTTATAATTACGAACTTTAAAAAGGTTCAGGCTTCTCAAACTCAACTTTTAGAAAACCTGTAAATAACGAAAATGGGTTGGGGGGAGAAAAAAAAGGGGGGGGGGGGTTCACCAGAATTTGTGTCTGTGTGTGTCGTGGTACCTGAAGATTGCCTACGAAAGATAGGAGGACAGATGAGGGGCGAGGGAGGGGTGAACACACGTGTTAAGTGCATTTCAGAATTCAATGTGGACCAGGGTATTTTTTTTTTAATGCGTGTATTTTTTTAAATATTCTGGTCTACGTTCACCGGCTGTAAACCCTCGGTGGAAAGTCCTGGTTGTTCGTCCACTTCTGGACTTGACTCTTGTTTTAGAATCTGGGTTTTGCGCGCCCTTTGGTTTTACAGATTTGGCTTATTTGCACACATACACTTGGCTACTTGCCTATCAGACAGACACACTCCGAACTTAAAGGTAAAGCCCCTAAATAGTCGCCTTTTATAACCTGCTCGTTTGGGAGGCAGTAGGTCTGTAGCGCCTTACTCCAAAACGGGGCATTGAACGGAGAGCGTATCAACGAAACAATGCGTATCTACATCTTAGGTCGTTTACTTTGGGAGACAAAGCGTCTGTGAGAATGTTCAGTATGCTTGATGTCGATTCTTAAAATATAGCTGATAGCCAAGTTCGTTCTGAATAAGGTTTGCCGGGAGGGCAAACATATGGTAACGTTGCATGTTATGGCCGAAAGGTGCAAATATCGCAGTCCTGCTGTAAACGGGCACAACGCAGTTACATCTTCTGATGAGTCTGACATCTTTTCTAAAAGTTTTTAAATGGGACGGACATTTTGTATGATTTCCACTAGTTGAGGAACGGAGCTATCGTGCTGCAAACCCCCTATAGTGATGTTGGAATCTTACCCAACAACAAAAGGACCTAACGACGTAACAACCTAATGTTGTAAACAGTAATCATTTCTATCGAATGTAGACAAACTGACTGTCGTAAGATTGTTTTAAAATTAAAAACAAAAATAACATTCAAATTGAGTGCAACAAGGGATATATTCTTCTTCTTTGTTCACCGCTTATAAGCTACGACGGAACGTCTAGGTTGTTGTTCCTTTGTTCTTTCCTTTGTGCCAGGGTCTCAGGTTTGCGCGCACATCCGTTTTACTGATTTATTTATGTGCATACTTTTGAGTCGCTTCAAGGCCACTGGGTCGGCCTCAAGAGCGCCTTGCAAAGAATACTCACATGGGCTGAGATCATTTACCGTCTGGCGTCAACATGGTGAAATGGCATGCGACTACCGACCCGACATGCCCACTGTGCAGAGCTAAGGAGATTTATATTGGTAAACAAGTTCGCATATGCTCCATGAAGGTCCGATAGTTCTGCACTCTGCGGAAATACGCCAGCTCGTCCTGATAAAGCTGACCGTGTCGTACGAGTCGCAGATGGAGAAAAAAAAATCACCTGTACAAACTCGAACAGTACAGTGAGCTCGTGGCCGTCTGAGTAAAGACGAAAAGATCGCAGTAAAATCTTCGCCGTCGAGGTAAGCGCAAGAGGTCTTATCTCCACTTCCATGTACAATGTGCTAAAGCAGCAGGGCTTTCAAGGAAACGAGCTTAAACTGTCACTAAAACAACTGGGAGAAAAACTGCTGAAAGAGCTTCGAGCTGGCTTTTTGACACAACGGAACGTCGTTGGGGATGGCATCGGTAGACTGGTCTAGTGAAAAGGAGCTTCTTATCTCTTAAAAGCTAACGTGTCCAAGAAATGTCTGAAAGTGTCTCTCTGCTAATCGCCAAAGTCTTTAACATCTGTCCGTTAAACCAACTGTAAAGCTTGTCACTCTGGTCGTGAAGGTAGGTGGCCAATTTGCTACCGCAGCAACAAATATTATATATCCCAAATCCTCACAGTGCCTGTTGCAAAGTAACCTTTTCGTATCGTCCCTGTCCGTTTAAATGCAGCAGGAGAACAGGGATCTGGCGTCATAAACCAGGCCGGCCGGCCTCTGAAATTGTCTAGGATATCGGGGCTAAACAATTTGAGACGAGGGACCATTCTACTGATGACTGGTAGCTGCTCCTGTTGCGATTGCTCCCACGTGAAGTTTTTCTTACTGACATGTGTCATCTCCACAATGACGGTTAGCTTCGATGGATTTCCAGTACATTTCTTTCTTGACTGCAAACTATCTGCTCCTCGCTCATCTCTCAGTGTTAATCTCGTACTTGTACCTCTGTATGTCTCTTGATCATCAGTCTTCAACATTCCTCGCCAGTAAATTATTAAAGATAGACGTTATTAGATTAGTGGGGCCGTGGTTTTTTTTTCGGATTTGTTTTTAAAAAATGACGTTGGCTCCCAGATCGGCTTGGCCTTGAGTGGGTGCCAGGTCCAGTTCTGGGAAGTAAAGGTGGCCTGTGATGCTGACCACATCACCCACCAAGTGCTGATTGGTCAATAAAATATAGATCTAGCCCAATATGCATAATACGCCTGGAGGCGTAGAAAAGAGTCCTTTAGTTGACTTCGTTTCTCCAGCCTTTGTTCTTACTGCAACTTCCAGTGGGCAGTTGTGGTTTGGCATTTGGTATGTCCTTCATGTCGATGAATTACCTAGCTAGGTTTATGAGCGCCGCCTACCAAAGAAGAGTTGATCTCACTTAGTTTAGCCAGTCAGCGAAGTTTGTTGCCTGGGGTGTGGCACGTGGAGCCATACTTAAGGTGAGAGAATACTTGGGGAATTAGGACCATTCCTATGGATGCTAATGTCCCCTATCCTGGAATAGTATTCAACTCTCTAACCAGCACCCCTGTCATCGTCATGTAGTAGGTCCTTTGCAGAACGTCACTCTCATCACGGTCTGCCTGAAAGAAACTCGGTCTCTCGCCAGCTCTCCCGCCCCATGCACTTTCATACTCAATGAGTAACTTATATCCTGTGCCCATCTTCGTGTTGGTCGGTCCCTGCCACTCCTTCCTGTTACCATGCCTTCTGCTTTCATTTTTTTTCTAATCAGTCGTGGCGCTTGATATGAATAAAATATGCTGTTTATTAGCCAATCTTCCTTGATCAGATCTTTCAACATGTGAATATTTCTCCTCTTTTGCGTCTAAGATATTCTGAGAATCTTTCTATAGCATTTCAGCTCAAAAGGCCCTATTCTCTTTCCTAAGGACTCGGAGATAGTTCACGACTCTAGTCCCTGTAAATGTATAAATTCTCCCCGAAAGCCGCATCATTTGATCATTCCTCCACCATTGTTCAGCCACCATCTCTTTTGAAAACATGCTTTCTGGCAAGTCGGCAGAACGATTAAGGTGTTGTTTCTGGCCACATAATGAATACATGAGTTCTAATTATTGAATTAGGAAACATAGAATTATTCTCACCGGTGATTTCAGGTACATGCCTACTTCCTAACGGAAGATTTCTTTAATTTCACCACATCTGATAATATACATTTAATGCTTTGGTAATTAAATCCCTGGGATTGACAACGCCTAGATTTATATGTGGGTCTGTGTGTGTGTGTGTGTGTGTGTGTGTGTGTGTGTGTGTGTGTGTGTGTGTGTGATATATATATATATATATATATATATATATATATATATATGTGTGTGTGTGTGTGTGTGTGTGTGTGTGTGTGTGTGTGTGTATCTTTGTGTGTGTGCGTGTGAGTGCATGTTTCTGCGTGTGTGGGATTATGTATTTGGTCTGTGTGTCTGTGCGTTTATGCGTGTATGTGTTTGTGTGGGTTGTGTCTGTATGTGCGTATGTGTATGTTTGTGTATGGTCGTGGATGCATATGTGTACATGTGTGCCCGTACATACTATGCGTGTGTGTGGCTCCCTTATGTGTTTGTGTGTGTGTGTGTGTACGTGGATATATGTGTATGCGTGTGTGTGCGTGAGTGCGTGAATGTCTACGCGTGTATGTGTATTGTGTTGTTGTTGTTGTTGTTGTTGTTGTTGTTGTTGTTTTTGTTGTTGTTTACCTACAGCTGAAACCAACAAACTAGCTGCTCTCTTTTTTGAGTGTGAAACTGTCTAGAGTTCGTTTCTCTGTGAGTTTGTTGATGTTTCCAGTTGCTGTCGAAGATAGCCGGTTCATTAATTCAACTTCTTTGTAAAGTGTGGTAATAGTAAAAGTTGGAATAGCCCCCCTCCCTCCCCACCCCCCCCCTTTCCCCGCCCCCCCCCCCCCCCCCCCCCCCTTTCCCCGCCACCAACTGTATACAATTGTTACAAAGATAATAGGTAATTATTATAAAACATGATGAAAATTTCAATTTATTAACCAAAATTATTTGTTTCTTCACAGTTTTTGAGATTTTAAGAGTCAACAGTAAAAACAGGAAGAATGGCACATCCCAAAAAGAATCAAAATATTTTATGGCTTATTAAATACCAAAACCGAGAGAAGTAGGGGAAAACCACTGTGGTATTCATCTCATTTGAAAACGTGCTTTCTGGCAAGTTATCAGAAAGAATAAGGTGTTGTTTATGACCTCATGATGAAACAAAAAACAAAAAACCTGGAACAATTTGTGGCAGCTTGAAACATTTACATAGAGAGAAATAGAGGGAAGAATTTTGGCAGCCTTTTTTGTCCTGGCACGGAAAGATGTCAATAGATGACAGATATCGCAATTAAAAAGAACTAAAGTGCATATTAGTCGAAAAGTCACCTTGTTTTGCTGATGATGACGATGAGGAGAAGGAGAAGGGTGATTTTACACACTGTGACTGTACATACTATTTCTTTGCTGTTTATTGCAAGCTAGTTTCTCTCATGTTCGCTGTCACAACACTGATGGTGAATTCACGAGCAATAGAAACAGAACACTCATTTGATTATCTCAAGTTCAGATCGAAATTCAAAGCCCCATCGAGCCCGGTGTTCAAACCGTCCTCCATGGTCAGCAAAGCCATCCCTAAGGCATCACTGTTGCGGTTGTTGCTCAGGTTTGACGGTGGCTGAGATATACGCATGACGTTGTAAGGATTACTTTTGTCAAGCTGAGAACCGTTCTGCTGTGATGGCTGGGTGTTGGTTCCAAGTACAGACGTCATCATCATCATAGCCAGGCCACTGTCAGCCATGTCCCCGATGCTGCCTAATTCATCAAGAAGAGTCCCAAACGCATCACCTGTTCCGTCCAGCCCTTCGACCAGGCCGTCCCCGATGTCCTCTAAGATGTCACTTAGCCTTTCACTGACCTGCTCCCCAAGGTCTCCCATGCCTTCTGTGGCATCTTTCACTGCATCCCCAATATCATCAGCAACCTCTTTAAGGGCATCACCAATATCATCAACAACATCCTTGACGACATCACTCGCATCCCCTGCAACATCCTGCACGGCATCCCCGACATCAGCAACAACATCTTTGATGACACCACCCGCATCACCAACCACATCTTTCACTACATCACCGGCATCTTTAACAACACCCCCCAAGCCTTCTACAACATCTTTCACCACATCACCCGCTCCGCCTACAACATCTTTAACACTAGACGCAGCATCAGATACAGCATCGCCAAAGTTGCCCACAGCATCCTTCAACCCATCGCCAACCCCAGCAACCGCATCTCCCAGACCACCTACGGCGTCCCTGACTCCACCACCAACATCCGCCACTACATCTCCTACACCCCCAGCTGCATCTTTCACACCATCACCAACATTTGACACCGCGTCCGCAACATCTGCGACTGTGTCCTTGACTCCACCCACGACATTGGATGCTGCGTCTTTGACCTCGTCATTCTGTGGGTCACAAATAAAACAACAGTTATGTAACTTTACAACAGCATAAATTACGTACCATTTAATACGACATGAAAATTGCAGCACTGTACTGTTGTAGAAAACATTTAATGCCAACTGTGTACTAAAGGTTCATTTTCAGACAGACAGACAGGCAGGCAGACAGACAGACAGACAGACAGACAGACAGACAGACAGACAGACAGACAGACAGACAGACAGACAGACAGACAGACAGACAGACAGACAGACAGACAGAGAAAGATAGATAGATAGATAGATAGATAGATAGATAGATAGATAGATAGATAGATAGATAGATAGATAGATAGATAGATAGATAGATAGATAGATTAGATAGATTAGATAGATTAGATAGATTAGATAGATTAGATAGATTAGATAGATAGATAGATAGATAGATAGATAGATAGATAGATAGATAGATAGATAGATAGATAGATAGATAGATAGATAGATAGATAGATAGATAGATAGATAGATAGATAGATAGATAGATAGATAGATAGATAGATAGATAGATAGATAGATAGATAGATAGATAGATAGATAGATAGATAGATAGATAGATAGATAGATAGATAGATAGATAGATAGATAGATAGATTAGATAGATAGATAGATAGATAGATAGATAGATAGATAGATAGATAGATAGATAGATAGATAGATAGATAGATAGATAGATAGATAGATAGATAGATAGATAGATAGATAGATAGATAGATAGATAGATATAGATAGATAGATAGATAGATAGATAGATAGATAGATAGATAGATAGATAGATAGATAGATAGATAGATAGATAGATAGATAGATAGATAGATAGATAGATAGATAGATAGATAGATAGATAGATAGATAGATAGATAGATAGATAGATAGATAGATAGATATAGCTTACTGATAATATCAAGGCAGCCCCTAAGCTGTTTGCTGCAGAATTGACAAACTTGGTGCCTGGAACTGCCGCTACCTGTGAGGCAGCACTCACAATTTCTGGCTTCTGAAAGAAAAAAAAACATCACGTTAGATCCACTGTTTCGTGTTTTGGTGCCAGGGCTTAAAACAATTTGGAACCCTGGAACCCCAAGGAAAGTCCACTACTATAGGGATGTTGGTTTGAAATGAACACCAACTAACCAAAAACCCTAACCCTAGTAACCCTATTCTATTGGACTTTCCCGGTCATTTCCCGGGTTCCTGTATTTGGGTTAAGCTTAAAAATGAAAGTACCTGTTGCTCCATTGGAAGACAAAGGGCAGAGAAAGAGGATGTGTGTGTAGAACGTGTGGATTACAATACAACCCTCGGTTCTTTATTTTTAGGCGACCATAAACGATGTCACAGGACAGTCAAATATTTTAGAGGATGGTAAGACCGGGTGTTGCGGAATTGCTGTGCGTCAACGCGTTTCTTCCAAGGTCAAGGTTTTCGATGGTTTCACCCGGCATCGGCGTCTTAAGTGTGTAGTTCTATCTGCGTGTGTTCAATAATCGCCACGAATTTCCTTGAAATAGCAGCATGGATACATGACTAGAGGAACGGCGTTGTGTGCCTGCAAAATCATGGCATTTTGTATCACCAGAACAATCGTGTGTTGTCTCTGCTGCCGATGCACTAGTTGCCGCATTCCAACATTTCTCCAGATCTACTAGCTTGAAAAATTGTTCTGACTGTGAGCGCTTTTAACGACCCTAAAACCTCTAGAACTGGCCCTAACCCTAACCCACCTACGTCCCACGAGAGAGTGCAGCCTATGTCACACGGCTGCATGCAGCCTAGATCCCACGACTGCATGCAGCCTAGGTCCAACGACTGTATGCAGCCTTTAGTATACGCAATGCCCGTGTCGTACTTAAAGTCCGAGAAGCCAATAATTACCAATATTACAAACCAACACACTGAATTTAACGTGTAAAATTGCTCTGATTGTGAATTCATTAACCCAGCAGTATACATCTAGAATGATTTGCCCTTTTTAGGGCCACCCCCAAAATACCGCAACTGGCAAGGCATCCTGCCGTTTGCACATAGAGTTCATACTAAAACCAAAAATTGCAAAACACCCTCCTCCCCGTTAAAAAAAAAAAAAAATTGCATCCTCCCGATTGCACATAGAATCCACAGCACACCCAGAAAAAAATGCACAGCAAAAAACTGCGCAGCACACACAACTGAAGCATACAAAACTTAAAACTGCGCAGCACAAAACTGCATAGCAAATGTAATGCCAAATTAAGAAACTATAAGAGTAATCTACAACCCCCTAAAATATTGGACTGTCCCGTGACCCGTGGATTTTACTTGTTTGTGGTCGCCTAAAGATAAAGAGCCCAACCCTCACTTTTGTCTGTGTGTTAAAGGTGATGACAGAAAGGCCATACAGCAGGTAACCTCTGACGTAAGCCTCGGTCGGACACACACAATGAACTGTCTCTGGTTAATGCAAGCCAAGATTGATGTCTCTCCAAGCACATCACGTATTATATTACATCCGTAGAGCAGATGCCACACAACCATTATTGTATCCTGAATGGCCAAAATATAACAATATAGTTGACAGAATATTAAATGTAGAAACAGATAATTCGAAAGGGACGTCTGAGCCCAGACGAGAGAGTTCTGTCCCCTGAAATGTAATGTGTTAAGTGCCCCCTAAAAATGTGAGGATTGTTGGCGGGGGGGGGGGGGGGGGGAGGCGGCTAAGATGTTTGAGCTCCCAGATGTGGATGCCTTTGATAATGTGTCCATGACAACATGTGCCTGCTACATCACATATCGGTGGTGTCGACCAAAATGACAGGTCTAAGACAGGGTTGTAGAAGTTGGGTTTTTTTTTTTTTTATGGCTCTTATTTGGAGATTAACAATAAATGCATTGACGAGTTCAAAGTTCTTGCTCAAGGACACTAACTGCACTCGCGTTGTAACAAACTAAGTGGGCAAAATGGTACAGCAACGATGTAAAGGACAATGAATATTAACTTTTATCAAAACACACAAACAAACACGTATATATATGTGTGTGTGTGTGTGTGTGTGTGACTTTAAAGACGTGTTAACGGTTTTATAACAAAGATGAACAATTTGGTGCCTTTTGGCGTGTTTTGCTAACTTTTCCAAAAAGTTGCGGTACTATTTCCCAAAAAATTTCGGTAGCCCTGGTTCAAGATATGGTTCAAGATGTAATGTTGCCATCTCACTGCTACATGTGGAGGGGGTGTCGCGGTGGCATACTGGCCTCTGAAGGATGTATGTCAGGCACAGACGTATCCTCGGTAAATTCACAGCGGGAGCGAACATTCACCACCACCCCCTCCCCCATCCCTCTGCTGCCGTCATCTACCATTTTTTTAAAGTTCTTGATTTTGAGTGCTTATTTTTACATTCCCTATTATTTTAAATATATGACCTTTTCATGTTTCCCGGCCCGTCAACACACTTTCTCAGTTTGACCTAGGTCAGAGTGGTGTCACTGGATGATGTAAATGGAGGATTGAACACCTGCGCCAGTCGACAGGGCACATGATGACGATGTTATCCACGACAAAATACAACGGTAAATTACTTTTTTGTTGTGTGTGTGCGTGTGTTAGTGTGTGTGTATATATATGTGTGTGTATATGTGTGTGTATATATGTGTGTGTGTGCTTGCGCGCGTGCGTTTGTGTGCGCGTGTGAGATAGAGAGAGTGCTTGTGTGAGAGAGTGTGTGTGATAGAGTGTGTGCGTCCATGTATGTGTGAGATATATACATATATATATATATATATATATATATATATATATATATATAGAGAGAGAGAGAGAGAGAGAGAGAGAGAGAGAGAGAGAGATAAAGAGAGAGAGAGAGAGTACGGACAGGAAGTTACGTCATGTGTCCTCACCTTGTCCTGTGTCAGATTTCCTGACAGATGTAGACCCAACAACAGACCCACGATCCCCAGAGCTCCAGCCAGACCCCCAACAATGGCCCACTTGAAGGACTTCTTCAGACATTTCGTCGGCGACTTCTCTGGGCCACTCTGTGAACATAAAATGTACGCTGGCCGATCAAGTTGAGAACGCCGTGTGCAATGCCGGCTTTCGTGACTGCAATTCTGGTGTGGGCTCGTTACTGTTGGCACATATGACAGCTGTCTTTGCTCGTGGGACTGACACGTTTTCCATTAGTTTTCAAGAGGGACAATGAAGGGAAATTTTGGTTATTTCCACGGGCACAGCAACGAGCAGTTAAAGGGTGGCTAGTCTGCAGTAGGGGCTGCGTGATCTCGAAGCATGGTGTCCACCCCGAGTACTTGTTGTTCCGGGTTTAATCCCCGGTAAGGGCTGGTATTTTTTCACGTGGAATTTGACTTCCACTATCCTCCTGGTCTCTGAGTAATGAGATCAGACGCCCGTGTGCATTGTTGCGCACGTAAAAAGTCCCATGGCAGTTGGAAATCGAAAAGAGTAGTCTAACGGCTCTGCCCTGGCAAAATATGGAGTTAAAAATCTACCCAGAATATTTCAAGATCCTCGCCGGTGCAACAGAGCCTGTGCACTGAGTTGAGCTTCTTCGGTCTCAGACTTGAATTAGAAGAAGAACAGAGCACTTATGGGTTACTACCCGTGTGCCATGATGTTGATCCGTTTTTCAAACCTAAAACCTAAAACATAGTCTGCAGTACTGTTGAAAGCTCAAATAACTAGCTAGCTAACTAGCTAACTAACTATCTAACTAACTAACTAACTAACTAACTAACTAACTAACTAACTAACTAACCAACCAACCAACCAACCAACCAAACAATCAACCAACCAACCAACTAACTAACTAACTAGCTAACCAACTAACTAACTAAACAAACATACTAACTGACTGACTGACTAACTAACTACCTAACTAACTAACTAACTAACTAACTAACTAACTAACTAACTAACTAACTAACTAACTAAACTACCGAACTAGCGAAATAACTGAATAACGAACTAACTAACTGACTGACTGACTAACTAACTAAGTAGCTAACTAACTAAAGTAACGAACTAAAGAAACTAACGAACTAACTAACTAACTAAACTAACGAATAATAGTTAACTAACTAAGTAACGTACTGCGAATATAAGTATGCGAGATTTCTCCTACAGAAGAGTTTCGTTGACGTTTTCATTTCTAGCTGGTCGTGTAGTCATGATATGGGCATCAGGTATCAGTATTATGTGTCTTTGATATATATACAGGTCATTTCCAGAAAATTCTAAGGATTAACACGCATTTTATTATCCTGGGTCGGCTCAAGGGTCATTGGTCACCTGGAGAAAGATTATACAGGACTCAAAGATCATGGTGCATCAGGAGAAAGATTATGCAGGACTCAAAGATCATGGTGCATCAGGAGAAAGATTAAACAGGACTCAAAGATCATGGTGCATCAGGAGAAAGATTATACAGGACTCAACGATCATGGTGCATCAGGAGAAAGATTATACAGGACTCAAAGATCATGGTGCATCAGGAGAAAGATTATACAGGACTCAAAGATCATGGTGCATCAGGAGAAAGATTATACAGGACTCAAAGATCATGGTGCATCAGGAGAAAGATTATGCAAGACTAAAAATCATGGTGCATCAGGAGAAAGATTATGCAAGACTCAAAAATCATGGTGCATCAGGAGAAAGATTATGCAAGACTCAAAAATCATGGTGCATCAGGAGAAAGATTATGCAAGACTCAAAGATCATGGTGCATCAGGAGAAAGATTATGCAAGACTCAAAGATCTGGTGCATCAGGAGAAAGATTATGCAAGACTCAAAGATCATGGTGCATCAGGAGAAAGATTATGCAAGACTCAAAGATCATGGTGCATCAGGAGAAAGATTATGCCCGACACAAGGGTCATAGTGCATCGGAAGAAAGATTGTGCACTGCTGGGTAACGAACCAGGACCCTCCGCCTCGGCAGGTAAACCTTTTAACTACCGGACCTCCAAGATCATAGACTGAGCAAGGTCGTTTCTGAAGAAGTTAATGTCTTATACAGACCCATTAAGGCTACATGAAGTAAAGCTGGTGTCAAAGATAGACATTCTAGCCTAAAATGCTAATAGTGATATTAAGAATTTGACATTATGACGAACGTTTTTGTCTCGTTTTCGTGTTAAACATTAAAATATGGTGCACAAGAAACCCTCTGATCATTAGAAAACATATATACATACAGATGTTTACACAGGATTACCTTACCCTTTGCACAAGATGACAGTATTCTTAAACGGCGGTTGTGTCAATATATCATCCATTTGATTTACTGTTCTCTCTGGACGGCCAGATCAGAAGGTGCTGAAACAGCGGAGGAAACAAGAGGAAGGAAAAGCAAGAAGTACACAGCTAACAACAGGTTAGAGAACGAGCGGTCTGACTTGAAGGAATGAAGCATTAAGCCCAAAGACGGCGCAAATACTGGAATTTTTGTCACGAAAGTAACGCAAAGAAACCAGACCACAAATAGTGACGAAGACTGTTAGCAGCCTTGGCTAGCTAACAGCAGTCTGAAAGTTGTCGAACTTTTTTTTTAGGAATCGGAATCGTTTCTCTCTGTAAACTTGTCCAGTGCCTGCATTTTCTCGATTGATCCCGGAACCATGTATTGGGGAACATATGATTACGTTATTTGTGTTTTTAAGATGGACCAAGAAGCATAAAAACAATAGCATCCTGTATCATCTGAGCATGGAGGAAAATTGGCTCATTAACAGCATCCTGTACCGAAACTGGGGTATTTTGGCGTCATGGTGACTTCAGTAGAGCGCTGTTAGAAGATGCAAATCTTCGCAGAGTTGGACACAAGTGATTCCCAAACTGTGCGCCGCGGCGCCTCGCGGAGCCGCGACTTTTTCACAGGGGTGTCATGAAATATTCGAAGATGCACGAGCTCTCATTTTTTTTTTCTTTCACATACGAATAGTCATACTTTTATTTAGGTTAGGGCGCCGTAAACAATATTTTTATCTTTCACATACGAATAGTCATACTTTTACTTAGGTTAGAGAGCCGTAAACAATATTTTTATGGAAAAATGGCGCCTCGACTAAGACAAGTTTAGGAAACCTTAGGTTAGGGAAAGAAGAAAGACTTGCAAATATGCTGCAAAGAGAGCAACGTTCTGCAAAGGACCTGCTCATTGATGATGATGTTTCTGAAGCGATAAAAATACTCGCAAATTAGTACAACAGGGTACTTTAAAGTAATACTTGATGTAACCAAAAGGTTTTAAGTTGAACTAACTCTATCAGGTTGAGCAAGGTATCTCGAATTTGTTCATACTGGATTTATATCTTAAATGTAGCTCTTCGGGTCACTGTGATTTTATGCATTCAGCTAGAAGATTAGAAGAAGAAATGCAGCTCCCCCCTTACCCCCCCCCCCCACCCCCACGTCCATTAAAATGTGCAATGCAAAGGGACTGCGTTTTTCATGTCAAAACGTTTCGGCGTTCCTCCTCTATTTGTACTGAACCGGTTTGCAAGAAGTGGCCCGCGTGCGCCTTTGCAAACCATTCATTATAAAACCGGTTTAGTTTGTTTCGTGCTTGTCTCTGGTATAATTGTACATCATGTTTTATAACGACACCCCTGCATGACGTCATTTGTCGCGGGCATAATTAATGTGCTTTGCCGTTTTTTGGTGTTTCTCTAGATCTGTCTTTTCCTTTCCAAAATGGTATACGCCTGGACAGAAACTCTTTAGGTCTGTTTCATCTTTGCTAGTAAAGTAAAGGTCCCTTTTCCACGACTTTATGCGTATTGGGCATATAGGGCTAGACCTATATTTTTATAGAACAATCGGCACAGGATGGGTGATGTCAGCATCACACCGGCCGCCTTTACTTCCTGAGACTGTACCCGGTACCCAAGGTTGGGTCAACCTGGGAGTCAATGTCATTTTAAAAAAAGTCCGGCTTCGCCAGGGAGCGAACCTAGGACCTTCCAATCCACACGCAAGCATCTAGCCGCTACGCCACGGCGACTGCCTTTCATCCTTTGGTGGTCCTGAAAATAACGTTTATTGCTTTGTTTATCTTGAGAACAGAGCAGCTAAGTTTATGTATTTAGGCCGACACATCCAGCCTGTCGTGGTGAGAACTTAAGCACTGGAGCACGTCTTGATAACCGGGAAGATTAAAAGAGGCAGAGAGAAATGATGCTGGGCTAGTGCAGTTCATTCTTCTGGCTCTTCTTCTTCTCGTTCGCGTTCGCAGACTGTAAACTCTGGTGGAGAGTGTGTGTGTTCGTCCATTCTGGACTTGTTTACATCATGCACTTCCATTCTACTGATGTTGCTTATTTGTTAGCAACGTGTTAATTCCTCGTCTTTCAGACAGATGCACCCCGCCTTTACGATATTCAGGTGTACGAGGTAACGAACAAACTGATAGTTTAGCTGCTGTCGCTCTTCTGGGTGGTAAGCTAGTTTATGATAAAGCGGACGCGGTAAATGCCCTCTGGGATCAAATGGACAGTGTAATAATATAGATAGAGAATCCATACACTGAAAGACTAATTTAGTGTCGTGGGAGTAGAGGTTGTAGAAGATATTCAACACTGAGGGGAAAACAGAGGCGGACTTTTAATCAGGTGACAACTGGTACTCTTAGCATGTCCACTCTGCGATGGCTACTGAAGAAGGGGACGGAGCACGTGTGGAAATGTGCCGAGTACAGTAATGTTAATTCTTGATTGATTCGTTCATTTAAGTAATATATATAAGCACCGGGCAGTGTTCGGAAGCACACGGTGTATGTTTAATGACTGCAGATTTTTTGAAATTACTTATTTGCGCACAGTAATTAAATGTGCGTATTACGTCATGTTTCAAGCGCTATGTAACCGTTAATTTCGAATATCACTGCTAAATCCCAGTGTTTCAATCATTGATCTTAGCTATAATGGTGTTAACTATTGAAGAAAGAGTATTTCTGATTGAGTATGTGTTCCTTAACGGTGGCAGGTATTCGAATGTGGTTATTCAACAATTTATGTTGTCATTTTCTGATACAAAAACGCCTTTTCCTAACACTGCTAGCAATTTGAACAGTAGAATCGATTATGAATAGAGCTGTACGGTGGGAAAACAGTACCCTCTCCCCACCAAAAAAAGACATGCTAGCGCAGTATATGTTGCATTATATCCACATACGATAATTTCATGACAATGTACGACAGTACATGACAGTGTACGATAGTACATGACAGTGTACGACAGTACATGATAATGTACGACAGTACATGACAGTGTATGACAGTACATGATAATGTACGACAGCACTTGACAGTGTACGACAGTACATGACAGTGTACGACAGTACATGACAGTGTACGACACTACATGATAATGTACCACAGTACATGACAGTGTACCACAGTCCATGACAGTGTACCACAGTATATGACAGTGTACGACAGTATATGACAGTGTACGACAGTACATGACAGTGTACGACAGAACATGATAATGTACGACAGTACATGACAGTGTAAGACAGTACACGATAATGTACTACAGTACATGACAGTGTACGACAGTACATGACAGTGTACGACAGTCTCATCTTTCAGCTTACATATTCCACAATCACAAACAGTAGCACCACGTTAACACGAAGCCGCTTTAAGAAGAATTTTCATTTAATACGGACAATATTGTGATCTCACCAGAGATGTTTTATTGTTACCAGTCCCCGGAAAGCATGCATTCTTTAAAACAAAAGCTAGATTTTGATCAACTGGGATTCGTGTTAACGCGGTTTTATTGTGCAACATTTTCACTGTAATTACCTCAAGGTCAGCGACGCCCATTTTGACTTCCACAGCCCGACTTCCCTTGGAGGGTTGAGTCCCAGCCAGCGGTAACACAATCACACAAACTGGGCAGACGTTGAGAAATCCGACTCACTTATACAGTTTTCCTAAAACTTTACTGCAATAGCTAAGGCGTATATTAATTTAAAACGTCGCTGAGCATTTAAATAGATAAATTTCACTCCAGTCCATTATTTATAGCTGCTGCAACGAGATGTGCACTGTTGAAAATAAAACATGGATGTGTCTAAAGGAAAGGGGGACTTAATATGTCACAGAATTTACATGAAATGGTGACAGACAAGAGCTGATCCAGTCCTGTCCGTTTAGCATGCAGGTGACCGGGCACAGGTAGTAATGGATGTGAGGTAGGTGTGTGAGACACAGGTAGCGCTTTAAAATAAGGTCATTACTTAATCCTGAGTTTAACTGTTGTAAGTCATGGGGAAGGAGTTGAGAAATCCCACCAGACACGTCAGTCCTTTTATGTTCAGGCAGAACTGTAAATACAGTGGTACCTATGTATACGTCCGTTCCTGGTCCTTGGGCGTGTATCAAACAGCACGTATATTACTCAGTACGTATACCAAATAGGACGTATACCAAACAGGGCGCATACCAAACAGACGTGTACCAGACAGTACGTATACTAAACCGTATGTATACCAAACAATACGTATACAAAAATTTTACGTATACCAAACAGTACTATACCAAACAGTACGTATGGTAAACAGGACGTATAACAAACAGTACGTATACCAAACAGTACGTACATTACACAGTACGTTTACGAAAGGTTTTCTTTTTTCTATAAGAAATCAAGGGAGAATGATTAATCCGTTCCAATGAAGAAAAAAATCATATTGTTTTTGGCATATTATACACCGCAGGAGTTGTATAAAATAATCTAAACATTGCTTGAAATTTAAATAGATTTAAATACACTTGACAAGTTTGGCCTTGTTCTAACACTTGTTTTACAGACTACTGGCGCCTCGACTCTTCAGCAGATTCACTGCGACTTTGAATGAAACCTCCCCATTAATTCGCCTTTCACGCAGTGTTTGTTGGAGGAGGGAAGTGGATACTACCGCCTTAACGCATGGGCGGGCAGGGCAATTGTTTGAAGATCCCATGTTCATCTCTATGTAGTCACTTCATAGTTAGAGCATATTTGTGTATATGTACTGTGTTGTCCTTTATGTGCTGATGAAGGCTAACCACCGCAACGTCCTTTGTTTGTTTATTGTGATCGATTTTGTAAAGCTGACATAAACTATTTGTTGTTTCTTACCAACTTTTTCTCTTCCCTTTAATTTTCTACTCCTTTTTAACAAATCTTTGTATTTAGCAACTTCTTCTTCTTCTTCATTCACTTCCTCTTTTACCGCTGTGGGTGTCGAGGGGGATATAAGGTTCTGTTTCTAGCTCTTCTGGCTGCCTCGACCATAGATCAAAGATCATGGTGCATCAGGAGAAAGATTATGCAGGACTCAAAGATCATGGTGCATCAGGAGAAAGATTATACAGGACTCAAAGATCATGGTGCATCAGGAGAAAGATTATACAGGACTCAAAGATCATGGTGCATCAGGAGAAAGATTATACAGGACTCAAAGATCATGGTGCATCAGGAGAAAGATTATGCAGGACTCAAAGATCATGGTGCATCAGGAGAAAGATTATACAGGACTCAAAGATCATGGTGCATCAGGAGAAAGATTATACAGGACTCAAAGATCATGGTGCATCAGGAGAAAGATTATGCAGGACTCAAAGATCATGGTGCATCAGGAGAAAGATTATACAGGACTCAAAGATCATGGTGCATCAGGAGAAAGATTATACAGGACTCAAAGATCATGGTGCATCAGGAGAAAGATTATGCAGGACTCAAAGATCATGGTGCATCAGGAGAAAGATTATGCAGGACTCAAAGATCATGGTGCATCAGGAGAAAGATTATACAGGACTCAAAGATCATGGTGCATCAGGAGAAAGATTATGCAGGACTCAAAGATCATGGTGCATCAGGAGAAAGATTATACAGGTCTCAAAGATCATGGTGCATCTGGAGAAAGATTATGCAGGACTCAAAGATCATGGTGCATCAGGAAAAAGATTATGCAGGACTCAAAGATCATGGTGCATCAGGAGAAAGATTATACAGGACTCAAAGATCATGGTGCATCAGGAGAAAGATTATACAGGACTCAAAGATCATGGTGCATCAGGAGAAAGATTATACAGGACTCAAAGATCATGGTGCATCAGGAGAAAGATTATGCAGGACTCAAAGATCATGGTGCATCAGGAGAAAGATTATACAGGACTCAAAGATCATGGTGCATCAGGAGAAAGATTATACAGGACTCAAAGATCATGGTGCATCAGGAGAAAGATTATGCAGGACTCAAAGATCATGGTGCATCAGGAGAAAGATTATACAGGACTCAAAGATCATGGTGCATCAGGAGAAAGATTATACAGGACTCAAAGATCATGGTGCATCAGGAGAAAGATTATACAGGTCTCAAAGATCATGGTGCATCAGGAGAAAGATTATACAGGACTCAAAGATCATGGTGCATCAGGAGAAAGATTATGCAGGACTCAAAGATCATGGTGCATCAGGAGAAAGATTATACAGGACTCAAAGATCATGGTGCATCAGGAGAAAGATTATACAGGACTCAAAGATCATGGTGCATCAGGAGAAAGATTATACAGGACTCAAAGATCATGGTGCATCAGGAGAAAGATTATACAGGACTCAAAGATCATGGTGCATCAGGAGAAAGATTATACAGGACTCAAAGATCATGTTGCATCAGGTGAAAGATTATGCAAGACTCAAAGATCTGGTCATCAGGTGAAAGATTATGCAAGACTCAAAGATCATGGTGCATCAGGAGAAAGATTATGCAAGACTCAAAAATCATGGTGAATCAGGAGAAAGATTATGCACGACACAAGGGTCATAGTGCATCGGAAGAAAGATTGTGCACTGCTGGGTAACGAACCAGGACCCTCCGCCTCGGCAGGTAAACCTTTTAACTACCGGACCTCCAAGATCATAGACTGAGCAAGGTAGTTTCTGAAGAAGTTAATGTCTTATACAGACCCATTAGGGCTACATGAAGTAAAGCTGGTGTCAAAGATAGACATTCTAGCCTAAAATGCTAATAGTGATATTAGGAATTTGACATTATGACGAACGTTTCTGTCTCGTTTTCTTGTTAAACATTAAAATATGGTGGACAAGAAACCCTCTGATCATTAGAAAACATATATACATACAGATGTTTACACAGGATTACCTTACCCTTTGCACAAGATGACAGTATTCTTAAACGGCGGTTGTGTCAATATATCATCCATTTGATTTACTGTTCTCTCTGGACGGCCAGATCAGACTTCATAGAGCCTATTTGTGTATGTGTATTGTGTTGTCCTTTATGTGCTGATGAAGGCTAATCGCCGCAACGTCCTTTGTTTGTTTGTTTATTGTGATCGATTTTGTAAAGCTAACATGAACTAATTGTTTTTTCTTACCAACTTTTTCTCTTCCCTATAATTTTCTACTCCTTATATAAAATGAAACCACAGAGGAAACAAGAGGAAGGAAAAGCAAGAAGTACACAGCTAACAACAGGTTAGAGAACGAGCGGTCTGACTTGAAGGAAGGAAGCATTAAGCCTAAAGACGGCGCAAGTACTAGACTTTTTGTCACGAAAGTAACGCAAAGAAACCAGACCACAGATAGTGACGAAGACTGTTAGCAGCCTCGGCTAGCTAACAGCAGTCTGAAAGTTGTCGAACTTTTTTTTTTAAGGAATCGGAATCGGTTCTCTCTGTAAACTTGTCCAGTGCCTGCATTTTCTCGATTGATCCCGGAACCATGTATTGGGGAAATTATGATTACGTTATTTGTGTTTTTGAGATAGACCAAGAAGTATAAAAACAATAGCATCCTGTATGATCTGAGCATGGAGGAAAATTGGCTCATAAACAGCATCTTGTAAAAACTGGGGTATTTTGGCGTCATGGTGACTTCAGTAGAGCGCTGTTAGAAGATGCAAATCTTCGCAGAGTTGGACACAAGTGATTCCCAAACTGTGATTCCCAAACGCCTCGGGGAGCCGCTACCTTTTCACAGGGGTGCCATGAAATATTCCAAGATGCACGAGTTTTCATTTTTTTTTTTTTTTTAATCTTTCACATACGAATAGTCATATTTTTACTTATGTTAGAGCGCCGTAAACAATATTACTTTTACATAGGTTAGGGCGCCGTAAACAATATTACTTTTACTTAGGTTAGGGCGCCGTAAACAATATTACTTTTACTTAGCTTAGGGCGCCGTAAACAATATTACTTTTACTTAGGTTAGGGCGCCGTAAACAATATTACTTTTACTTAGCTTAGGGCGCCGTAAACAATATTACTTTTACTTAGGTTAGGGCGCCGTAAACAATATTACTTTTACTTAGGTTAGGGCGCCGTAAACAATATTACTTTTACTTAGGTTAGGGCGCCGTAAACAATATTACTTTTACTTAGGTTAGGGCGCCGTAAACAATATTACTTTTACTTAGGTTAGGGCGCCGTCAACAATATTACTTTTACTTAGGTTAGGGCGCCGTAAACAATATTACTTTTACTTAGGTTAGGGCGCCGTCAACAATATTACTTTTACTTAGGTTAGGGCGCCGTCAACAATATTACTTTTACTTAGGTTAGGGCGCCGTCAACAATATTACTTTTACTTAGGTTAGGGCGCCGTAAACAATATTTTTATCGAAAAATGGCGCATCGACTAAGAAAAGTTTGGGAAACATGAGGTTAGAGAAAGAAGAAAGACTTGCAAATATGCTGCAAAGAGAGCAACGTTCTGCAAAGGACCTGCTCATTGATGATGATGTTTCTGAAGCGATAAAAATACTCGCAACTTAGTACAACAGGGTACTTTAAAGTAATACTTGATGTAACCA